TACTGTATATTACATTGTTATAATAACAGGTAACACTACCAGATTCTCAATCAACTAGTTTATTAGGTTCAGTATTTATTATAACTTGACCTAAAATATAAAGAGAATATTATACAGTTACTGTCTATTACATTGTTATAATAACAGGTAACACTATCAGATTCTCCATCAACTAGTTCATTAGGTTCAGTATTTATTTTACTTTCCTATTAAATGTTTAATATATATTTATATAAGAAATACAAGTATTGATGTATTGTATTGTTTAATTAAGCACCATATACACTTGCTTTTGCCCAATACTTATCATACAAAAAAAACAGAGTAATAGGTAAATCAACCTATATACAATTCATATCCAATGATTATATCAATAATAAAGGGGAAAGAACATACATGATCACAATAACAGATAAGTCATTTCAACATTGAACCTCTAAGATTCAGTTTATTAGTATTTATACATTTACACAACATATTATTATATGTACTATAAGATTATATATGAATATAATAAGATATAAAAACATACCTAATATTGTTTGAGTTAATATTCCTATCAGTAACACAACTATCGCCATTTTAGTTTAAGATTATAATATATTTGATATAAGTTATACAATCTATATTACTTCCTCATTCATATACAGGGGTCGTAGTTTAAAAAGAAAAGAAAAACAAGTAGTCTATTACGGTACATGTTTACATGTAAATAAATCAGTTGTATAGTCAATGACTTACCAGTGGTATTGAACCATGACTATTCGCTATACCATTTTAGCTAGATAGAGTGAAGTTTATTGCATTAGCATTGTTATAGTATTAGACAATAACTGTCGATTACGTTTATACATAAAAAAATAAACATTTATTTTTTTACTTAACGTTTTCTGAACGAGCATAGGACTTAGTTAAAGTGTATTTCTTTACAGTTAGAATACAGATGTGACGTCACCCTTTGATCTTTTCTAACCAATATCCAACTTACCAAGAGTAAGAGTACATTATTTTTTAAATATGGTGGCAAATTGTGAACTGCTGTGACGTTCAGCAGGTGAAACGCCAAAGGGGTGAGAAAGGCGTTTTGAACTTTGGTTAATGTGGGACCTTGGAGCTAAAAATCAGAAACCGGGGATCCTGACAGAACATTTGTTATCAAGCCCCTCAGTAGTATTTTAGGACCAGATGACAACGAGGATCTATTTCTGTGCCCGGTCAGGTCAGAAGTCTGCAGGTTTTCACAACAGATTATTTTGCCTTTGAAAGTTAAACATGGTGAAGTGAAAAAGAACTATTGCTTTTTAGCTTCACTCAGTTATTTTGGATGCTTACATAAGTGCCGGCCTCCCTCCACCGGTTTCAGATCGAACTAACGAAATTAGGGCATATGGTTCTACCATACATAATAATATTTCAACGCCGGACATTATGCGAGGCTGTTTTATTTTTGGTCTGGCGATACAAACGTTGCAAACTTTTATTTGAGAGATTTATCCGACGAAACCTTAAGGGCACATTCCAATTTGTAGGCAATTTCCTTATCTTAGGCGATTTTAGTTGTATTAATTGACCTATTTATCGTCTAACAACTTGTGGACGTCTTTAGAAGCGTTCCTCATCTTGGTTTTATCATTCCGTTACATTCGTTCATCTGTATTGAAGTGTATTTATTTATATACGTTTGTTACTTCGCATGAATCAATTTGGCCTTGAATTACATTTCTGGCTAGGATCTAAGACTTCATGCTTCCTTTTTGCTGTCATTTAGCTAAGCTACTAATCCATTCGTTTTCCAACACCAATTTTACACTTCATATATTACTTGGGTGTTAAATTTTCATTTTGACCTGCTGCCTTTTGAAAATCAAATATTCGATCTACAAACATCTATTGACCTATTTAAAAAAATCCACTGCAGTTTTAATAACACCGAACGTATTAAACCAACAACTACTGCGGTTGACTACATTAAATCGTAATCTACAAGATGTTTTGAAAACAGAGTATAATCAGTTAAATACACATTTCGTAAAACAATAAGTTTCAAAATTTCAAATTTCAGATAACAAAATCACCGAAATCACAATACAAACAATATATCTGGCAATTTTAACAAATACAAAATTTTTAACTTTAGCTGCAAGTAGATTTAAGAGACTGTCTGAATTTTAAAGTATGAAAAGTTCGATGTTTAAATTAAGTAATTCCGAAATTTGTACCCAAAATACTTGCCGTAATTTTAAAAAAAATTAAGCTCTCATCTTTAAAAATATATCGATGAAATGAGGACGATAAGCGTTGGGAAAAGCTTTATAAAGGAAGTATAGTCCTTTGAGAAAAGTAAACGCTTGGTTTGTACAATGGGTATGATTATACATATGAATAGCACGGTAAGAATATAATACTGAACAGTTAGACAGGTGTTGTTTTTTTTTTCGTACGAGTCTTTTCCCTTGAAGTTGGATTCGACAAAATAAAAAAAATACAAAACACAAAAAGAAAAGAGAAAAATCACATTTCGAGACTGGCACGTGCAAACACTTGTCAGTTCTCGCTCGACTGTTTATTTAGACGCATTGTACCAGGTGCGAGCGATGAGACGTTTGATCGATATCGTCATACACCACATCGCACGGTCCAAACCGATACTCGTCTTAAAGTACGGACTGTCGAGACCTCGGAGATGTCATAATTTGCGAGAATACAAACGGCAAGAGATAAGAATCAACAAGCGATTTGCGAAGATTTTCAGGGTGGGCCCAGAACATGACACATGTGAATTCTTTTTGGGGACAGAGTTATAGTACGTTTACGGTTTACCTAGATGGCGTCAGGCCCGATGGTGTGCTACTATAACCATTCTCTTCTCAGCCTTACCTGTGATATTCATTATCATTACATTTATATTTTTAAAACATAATTCTTAATTACTTTTACTTATTCTACTCCATATAATCACCAAACAGCCATATATCATATATTTACATTTAATTGTTTATAATACCATTTATTCATAGATATAGAATATAGAATTATTTACATAGAGTTTATTTATATACAGAGTTTGATTATATCTAGAATTATTAACATAGAATTAATTCAAATATAGAAATTCTCTGAGAAAAATTTCCAGAGCTTTCTTATTTAACTCTTTTCTCTTTGCTTTGTTGATCAGTTCATCATATTTGTTTTCTTTCCTTTTTTACCGGAGTGTTGGTTACGTTTGAAGAATAACATATTTGTGTGACCTGATAGGACTTGTATTCAAATTGTGAATTGTTG